ACCAGAGGGGGAAAAAACAAAAAAACCCCACCCTCACAACACTGGCAGGGCATGCCCCTGTATATAAACAGAGAGCAAACCCCCCTCCATTCTAGCACTGAAGATGTTACCTAGCCGAGTATTGAAACATTTGCAAGAAAACAACCAAGCTCAGAGAACCTCAAGGACTCCAGAGCCCCTTATCTTTTAACCGAAGGGAGGCTCATAATACCAGTGTTTCCCCAACTACCCCCAATCCTCTACTAACTCCTCCAGTCTAGCTAGTTCAACCTCTTCAATTTTTCACTTTTTCTTCTCCAAAACAAATCAATTTCTTCAGATCATAAGCAAACTCTAAAGCCAGTTCTAACTCACTACTCAGTTCTTGCCTCCAATTTTGGAAAACAGGGAGCCCTCAACCCAATTCTTCCATTAACTTTCTTTGTTAAATGTGTTTCTGGAGGGAACCAGGGGCTGCCAGCAGTGATCACACATGCCAGGCTCTACAATCTCCCACCAATATAGCTTTGACATTTAGCAGCTGCTGCACAGTAAATTGCTGGCAATAGCAGCAGCAGCAACAGCAATCAAGCAGACTTGCTAATGAGTCCAAACTGCCTCTTCATTAATGATGTCAGAAGTCTTCTTTCCTTCTTCTCTAACACTAAGCCTTCCTTGCCTGGATTGACAATAATTCAGGAGGTTGCTGCTTTCCACTAATTTCTTTATTCCACTCATCCAATTCATGCACTCTTTACCGTGTCCACTTTCTCCTTCAGTCTCACACAAAGAAATTGTCCATTTGAATCTTCATCTCTCTCTCCTCAGACACTTTCACAATTTTTCTGCTGCACACTTTCATTCTATCCTTGTTTCCATGTTCTCCATTTGACTTCCCTTCCATATTTCTTTCTCCTCCACTCCCATTCTTCTTTCCACACTTCTGTCCTATCAACATGTGTTCTCTCTCTTCTTCATCTTCTCTACTTCTCTGCACTTATAACCATTCACTCAGCTTTCTTCTACAAAAACCTCTTGGCCTCTGCCTCAATCTGAATCCTCATCCTATGTGACTCCTGTACTCTCTGTCCCAGACTACGGACATTAATAGTAGTCCAAAGTCAGTCACCAATGGATTCCTGGGCAGTGATATCCTCAGGTTGCCATTTAGAATTTTAGGAGGGATATTGATATTTGGCATGCAACTGCTGCATGGCAGTCATGAGGAACAAAAACAATAGTATTGCTGCTAGAATTCAGGTTCACGTAACAGCGATAACTATTGAATTTCAAGAAATGTTATGACCCAAGAAATTAACCAGCTAACAGAAAACTTTATAAATTATAGCCATAAAAAACTGGATGGATTGTGTTAGACTGAATGGAACAAAGTCCTCATTTAAGCCTTCATCACCAGTTGCTTGGATTACCGCAATGTGTTATACAGTATGTGGGGGCTGCCTCTAAAGACAACTTGAAAACTTCAATTAGTCAAGAATGCAACAATCCAGTTATCAGACTTGCATTCATCACTGTGAACATACATTTGTGATCCAGGCTCTATACTGTCTTCCTATTAGCTTCCAGGTCCACTTTTAAATTCTTGTCCATACCTATGAAGTCCTACATATCTTGGCACCAAAATATTTGAGGAACTACCTTCTCCAAACAGAATCGACCCACCTAACTTATGCATCTGAGGAGAAACTCTACCATTTCCTCAAGTGGAAGCTCACAAGTGCTGCTTTTCAAGCCCGCCCCCCCCCCGCCCCACCAAAATTAAGTTGGCTGCACACTCCTGGCCTTCTAGAAACTGAGTTGTTTCAGAAGGCCTATACTGAATTATTGGACAGTCTTTTGATTGTTTTGATATATTTTGGCTCTTGGCATGGACATTTTATTACAATGCTTAGCTTGCTTTAATTACTGTAAAACAATGAGAATCTCATTATTTGAGCAGGTATAAATAAAATTCACTTTTTCCTTGTTTTCTTTCCTCTCTATTTCTTTAAAGCACTGCCTTTGGACTGGATTAGATCCATTGTAATCCAAACTGAAATTACACAAAGATTTGGAGTTCTTATGACTTTGTTTCAGAATTAATTCCATGTAGCAAAAGTTACCATTTAGAACAAAACATGGAATATTCATTTTATATTTCAGACAGACTTCCTATACCCCCCAATAACTAGGTTAGTATATTTCAAGCTTGATCTCATCTTTAGGGAAGAAAAGAATAGCCATGATTAGCAAAATAAAACAATAATAAACTAAAAAGGGACTGATGGAAATTTAAATATGGAACCAGCCTAAACTTACAAGACAGAAGATAGTAACTGAACAGGAACAAATTGTTGAAACTACAGAAACTTTAACTGGAGATATATGTGAGCCAGTGTTCGCTTTCCTTAGTATGATACAGAAACATGAACTTAATGGGACAGGATCTGCTTAGGACAGATTCCTCATTTGGTTTCCAAAGCCATAGTATCCCCCATTGTACTCTTCTGTTTCTGATGTTACCTTTTCTCCCCAGACCTGTGAAGTGATATACAGTAGTAGATATATAACACATGGTTATCTGGAGCATTAATCAGATGCTTCAGTTATGTGTAACTCTTTCTTGTACCATTTTATCAGCTGAAGTGGATGTTTGTGGAATTACGTTATAAAGATGAGAAAGTGAAGGCAATAATAAGTAAGACTACATGAAACTTCCAATTGGTGGTTTCAACTGAATCACAAATTCAAGTTTAATCTTGACCTTTTACTCAGGTCATAGCTGACTTGCACCTCCTACTAAGAGACTAAATTTGAGGAATAACTTTTTGGCTTAGAGTTGCTCATCTCCACTCCCCCACCCCTTCCAGCTGTATTAAATATTAATTTATAACATTACTGTAGAAGAAAAGGTCTTCAGCATTTTTGGGTATCAAACAGGTAAATCTTAGGCTTTCTGATGCACAGTGACTATAGGTTAATACAAGATAGTAGTATAGTATACTTTATTGATTAGTCAACTGACCATATCAAAGCATAACAAGATAGTAGATATAATATCTCTTGATCAGTAACACCCAAGTTCAGATTCTTCCATTTTAATGCTTACCAGATGATGCCAGATCAGTTGCTTTTTCTCGAATGAAGCCAAATGTTGAAAAAGCCATACATGCTATCATAAACTTACTAGATAAAGGGAAGGATATATAATATAATCTACACACACTGACTCAACAAGGATTTTTGCACACATGCCAATTCATGAGTATGGCAATGTGCCTATTCATAGTATGACTAGATGTTTCACCACAACGTATGTTCCAGGAAATCTTTGATTTTTATAAGCAAGTATTCTGCCAAAACCCTCTTGCACACAGCAATATTGTTTTTCTACCCATAGCAATCCAGGGTATTTTTCCAGACAGAAAATATTTCAGCAAAAGAAATGAAGAATGCAATGCACTTTTGCATAGCAGAAATGACAAGCTGTACCCTATCTCCAAACCATTCAAGGGAGAATTTTTAAAAAAGCAAGGAACTTATGAAACAAAAAATACCATCATTCAAACTATTAAAATAATTACACAAAATGGTCTCTCACACTCATCCAATTACCTAAAGTCAGCTGTAGCAGCAAAAGATTCAAGCTCTGTAATCGAAAATACACAGAGAAAACCTTCTCCGCTTCTAAAATAGTTGTCACGAATTGCAGCATAGTCTTCCTGTCCTGCTGTATCCAATATATCAATCTGAACTTCTTCTCCATCCAGGACCACTCTTTTTCTGTAGCTATCTGCTTTGGTAGGTTCATAATCTTCTACAAACTGTTAAGAAACAAAATAGTCAATCCCATTCTAAACAACAAAATTTTAGTAGTGATTTCAAACACTATTATTTATTTCTTGCTCAGCCCTATCCTAATGCTGGCAGATTACATGGGTATTTGTATATGTATATAAATAAATAAATTATATATGGCTCCTTATCTCATAGAAGTGACTCTGGGTAGTGTACAAGTATTAAGAACCCAACAGTTACAAACAATAACCCATGACACTAGAGGTAAGTAATATACTCCAATCCTAATAATCCAGTCCACAACAGAACTTGCTTAACCTCCTGGCCCAAACTCCTGGGGAAACAACCAGAGTCTTACAAAAGGCTAATAGGGTTAAAGCCATCTGGATCTCTGAGGGATGCTGTTCCACAAGGCAGGTACTGGTGCAGAAAAAAAGTGACTCCTGGGTCCAACAAGATGACACTGTTTAATGGAAAAGATCTGGAGCATGCCCCTTCTACAAGATCTGGTGAGGCAAACAGGAACAATGGGAGAAAGGCGATCTCGCAAGTAGCTTGGCCTATGCCATGCAGGGCTTTACAGATGACAACCAGGACCTTGAATTGCACTCAGAAGCCTACTAGGAGCCAGTGCAGCTTGCAGAGCAGCTGTGTTATATGGGCTTAGTGAGAGACGCCAAAAACTGCCTGCACTACTGCATTCTGGACCAGCTGCAGCTTCCAAATGCTCTTCACAGACAGCCCCACATAGAGTGCATTGCAATAATCAAAATGTGAGGTGACTAAGACATGAGTCACTGTGAGCAAGACCTCCGAGTCCAGAAATGGGGCACAATTGGTGCACAAGCTGAACTTGCACAAAGGCCCCTTAGCCATGGCTGCCACCTGCTCTTCAAGCAGAAGCCATGAATCCAGGAGCACCCTCAAGTTGTGTAACAATTCTGACTGGGAAACTGCACTTCCAGGCAGAGAGAGATGAAAAATCTCTGGACCTGGGGGGACCTTAAAACTCACAGCCATTCAGTCTTGACAGGATTGAACCAAAGCCTGTTCTCCGTATCTAGACCCTAACAGCTTCCAAACACAGGGAAAGAACCTTGGTGGCATCACTTAGTTGGCCCAGGGGGAGATGCACAACTGGATATCATGCCAGGAGATGACTTCACGCAGCAGCTTCAAACAGATGTTAAACAGGAGTGGCAAAGGGATAGAACCCCAAGGCAACCCACAAGGCAAGGGCCTTGAGTTCGAAGAGTTCAGAGACTTGAACTCTTCCCCAATAACTAGCCTAGACTGTGCCCCAGGTACCTCCAATGGACCTGTTCAGACAGATTCCAAGTCTGACCAAATCTCAGCAACTTCATCCAACAGATGCCTAGAATAATGCTCACAATGGCCCTGCAGGTATTCCCATGGCCTCTCCTTACCCAGGAGGGACCAAGTAAATTTATCCTTTTGGGTGGTCATAGTGCTGCAAAGTTTGAGAAACCCTGGAATAAGGAATTGGAATATTCTGTACATGAAAATCAGTGAAAGATTATTCGGGCATATGACAAATTATGTGTCATATTTCTGTAGTTTTAAAATAAACAATATTACTTCACATTTATTGGATACCTATGCATCTTTTCAGGAAGAAATGAAAGGTTTCAGCTAATTGTTAGAAATGTGACACTCAAACCACAGTCTGAATATATTTAGCATGATCCTGTACTACAGTGGCTTCCATTTAGACCAAAGTTATTTCACATATTAAATTTGTTCTGGAAATCTCTGGCTTTTGTACATGTCTTTTGAGTTATATTCCAATGGTTTGGAAGCTAGCATGAGAACAATAGAACACGCATTCTCATTAATTATACAGTGGTCTAAAGAACTTAACTTACTTTCTCCAAGTTCAACAACTTGAATAAAGTTCAATAAGTACTTTGTTATGAATCCAGACTGATGCCCAAAGTGTTGTCCACAGACCACCAGACATCTGCAGAAAATCACCTCCTCTTTACACCTTTCAGTAATTAGCTGGTTCATGAAGATGAAGCACTGGCTGAAAACTGGTTCAATGATGCATACAAATAATAATACAGGTAGTCCACTGCCTTCAGCACCCATTCAAAATTATGATGGCACTGAACCAGGGGGACTTAGGACCAGTCTGCAAAGCTGCGGCCACTGCAGCATCCCCACATCACACGATCGCAATTCAGGCGCTTGGGTCCCCAGCTTACAATTACAACATCACAGTGACCTGCGGTCACATGAACACCATTTGCGATCTTCCCTGCTGGCTTGCCACAAGCAAAGTCAACGGGGAAGCTGGCAGGGAAGGTTGCAAGTCGCTCCTGCTGCTTTTTCTCCCAAGGAGCAGCATTATGGAGTACAACATCCCAGGGATATCGTACTACATAGTATCCCCCATCTACCCACGCTCCCCAGTACCCATCTGCAACCCACACTGCCCGCCCCCACACTCCCCAACATCCACCCATGGCCCTCACCAGCCCACCCGCGGTACCCGATGCCAGCCCATGGCTCTCACCAGCCTGCCCACTCTCCCTAGTGCCTGCCCGTGGCACCTACATGCCCCCCGCGCTCCTTGTCTGGGACACCCACCTCTTCCCACTTAACCCACATGGTCCTGAGGGCATGACAACCACCAGGACTGCTGTCACTAAGCAATGCAGTCACATGACATCATGCTTTATAACCACATCACTTAGCAATGGAAATTCTGATCCCAATTGCCCTTGTAACCTGAGGACTACCTGTACAATACCAAGCTATGGAGTAAAATTCTGAAAACACATTAGCAAATGGGTTTTGAGTGCGGCTATCAACTGTGCTGTATTAAATGTAACTGTGATCTTTCACAAACAACCAAAAAGAAAACCATGAATAGAAGATACTATGAAGAATATCTAAAAATAGGATATTGGGCTGGAGATCTTGCTGCTCCATCCCCTTAGTACTTAAAAGAGATCTCAGTTGAAGAACAGTCTTGACCAGCAAGTGTGTGCTAAGAGTTGATATAAGATAAATACAAAAATTAAATGTTCCAAAAATCCTCATAATTTGAGATTAATTTTTCGGTATAAAATTTAATTTTAAAAGGCCTTTAAAAATGGAGGAAATAGGAAGACGAACAGCCACCTCATTTAGCAACCATTCGCAAATACATTAATAATTTTTTAAAAAATCATTTTCTGACCAATGCGTGCATTTACAACCAAATTTTTGCGCCCAATAACAACACATGCCGGAGTGAGAATAATGCTGGTGTTACTGCACAAGAGAACTTTATCTAAATGAGACAACAGCAACCAGTGATCTTCACAGCATCTCTCTCTCTCTCTCTCTCATTTTCTCTGTCACATGGTTCGCTTAGCAACCATTTTGCTTCTGATTTAGGGATCAAATTGCGGTCGCTAAACAAGGAGAGGGTGTACACAAATGCAACCATAATTGAGATATTATCTGTCCAAAAATCTAAATTCCCAAGCTTTTAAAAGTAACAATGTAGGAAAAGGATACTTGCTTAACTGGAAGGTCCCTGCATTTTCCAAATGTTTATTTAGTAGTCTATGATTGCAGAAAATTTGAGAAATATCATTTAAAACATCTGGACTACATATAATGTTCTAATTATTCCCATTCTTAAATAATTAGACTTCAATGTTTATAATTATATATCATAGCAAGAAAATGTGTGTGTTTATGTACAGTACATATGAACTTTGATTAATATAAAAGATATGATTATTTCTCTTTTCCTGTGTGTGCGTGTCTGTGTGTAAAAAGGAATAGTTTTAATGGCTATGTAATGACTAAAGAGTAACTGAAAGTTTTCTAGAAATGAATTAAGGCATATTGCCTATGAATTCACAAGGGTGAGTTGATAAAAATTAATGTGCAAATACTTAATCTCAAGTTCTGTTTTCTGTACTTCTCCTTCTCCTCTGGGCACCTTCCAGAGCAAATTTTAAAATATCTGGAAAACATAGGGAGTGTGGGAATTGTAGAAACCTTATCAGCTAACAGAAACATATAGATGGATTCCACCCAAATTGTGCCAATTATAACGGTTGTGAATCAATATATACTGAGAGCCTTATCCCCTGAAAAACAAGTGATCAGTGTAAGTCTCTTATAGTTCTTTAACACATTTAATAACAGTAAACATTTTCTTATTTTACTTCAACTTAGTCTTCAGCTCCCACCAAGTATCCAACTGCCTTATACAGAAAAACAATCAATTTTAATCACACTGCTGTTTAAATCTAGCATCTAGAAACAGGGAAGGTATCAGATGCTTTGTTTTAAATTTTGACTTTTCCAAACAAAAGTGTAACTGAAACAGCCTCTCAATTATCTTTAATTATCAAGTCATTTTTTCTCTGACTGTATCTGAACTGTTTCAGCCACTGATATAACTGAATGTAATGTTCTAAATACTGCTGAATGTAATGTACTATAACATACATATTGCTGTAATGTAATGTACTGAATAATGCTGAATGTAATGTATTAAAATACTGCTTCAATTGCCTCCTCACATACAACTTGAAAATATAGACATAAATTTAAAGAAAAACATTTGAATTCTTACCTCATCATACATGAATTGTAAAGTCAATGCAGATTTTCCTACTCCCCCACTGCCTACCATAATTACTTTATGCAGAGCCAAAGAATTTTGACTTTTGAGCTTATTTGCTGCCATTTTTACGTGGAGATATTTCACACAAAGGTAAGACCTAGAACAAGAACAATTGTTTGCATTAATAAGGACTTAAAATATTCAGACAGTTCATTTCTGTTCAACAACTCAAACAGAATAGACTGACAGCCACGAAAGAATCACATGCCCTACTCCATTTCTTATTTCAACTTCCAAGTTAGTAAAATGATAAATGTTGTATACACAAGCAAATTAAAATACTTTCCTGAACAAGAATTATTTCTGTTTGGAAGAAAAATATCTATCAGAGTTAGTGCATGAAGTAATATTCTCTGGATGAATAATTATATTCAGTGTGACTCATCAGAAACAATCTCAACACAGTACAGACATGAAGCTTGACTCTTAGGAGTCACAAATATTCTCACATCTGTAGATACTATAGGAAAAAATGTGATATAATCTCAAGGTCAAGGATGCTTTTCAAAGCAATAGGACAAATTTTTCCTTTGTCCTCTTATGATAAAACTTAGTAACAATAAATTTAAATTACATTTGTGATAGCCTTTGATGCCTATAAATCTGTTAACAATGATGGTTTACATTTAGAACATTTCTTGGGTATTTCTTTTCTATTATATACCATAAATTCATTCCATGCTGGATATGTTATTCTTGAATATGATTATTTGGATTTATAGCATAAAAAGGATAACACCAAATCATGCAGCATCAAGACCATTAGACAAGATAACTGCTATACCAGGTTAAAATATGATGTGTCACAAGATCTCCCATCAACATCTACCATTAGCCTGCAAAGGCTTAGTTAAATATGATAATTGTGTCATTACATCTTTGGATGCAATGGATGGATCACTGCTGCTACGGTCCCAAATGAAGTGTTTAAAAATATTGTTTAGATTTTAAAGGAAATCCAGAATATAAATATAAATTTTAAAATATAGCTCTTTTTTTTTTTTTTTTACGATACAAGCTAGTGAAACCAAGGGAGTTTCAACTGATATAAGAATCAAAGCATAAGTAAAAAAGTAAAGTCTCCCTGTCTGCACACTAGGATCTCAGTTCCAGATTAAGCCCCCAAAACTAGCAAATTGTGAGTTAACAAATTCACTGAATAGTAGAACAATGCAGTGCATAATTAGTAATTTGGCTGCAATTTTTTTTATATAAAACATATGAAACAAGGTACCTCATTAAAACTTGTAAGCACAATTCATTAAAGCAACTAAATTTTAAATTTAGTTATCAGGTTATTCAACAGAATGAACAATTAGAACTTTGGCATATGAATAAGTGAGTGAATTTAAAGACTCATTTCAGACAATCCTCTGATTAGGAGGATTGCAGTGGATTCTGATGTTTCCTTGTTCTAGTCACATATGCAGCTGGTCTTCTTTTCTCTATTTTGATCAATATCAACCTACCTATTCCTTTCAAACCAGAATCATAATCTCTGGTGTGAAGAGCAAATGCTATCAAATTTTATCAATTAAGGGGAAAAAAAGTCATGCTATGCTAATGTCATGTCATGCTAATATCATCATCATTCTCATTTATTAAATTTATATGTCACCTGACTCCCAGTGATTCTTAAGAGTAGTGTTAGTTAAAATTATATTGCATGTACTCAAGGCAAACTAAGGGTTTCCTTCAGCTTTCCTTTAAAGCTATTTTTTGCTGCAGCCTAATCTCCATCTTCAATGAACCTACCCATTGTTCCTTGGTTCACTGTGACTCTCTTGATGTCTAATCCTTTTCTCTAAATTCCAAATAAACGTATGCTTTCTAATAAACCTTAAATACTATTTTAAAAAGTAATTACTTCTCAAAAAATAACCTTGCCATTTAGAATATTAGTAAACCCTACTCACCTTAGGCAGGTAAATTAGGGTTAATGCACTACCACTGTCTAGATATCTTAACCAGTCTGGAGAAAGTCTAAGATCTTGTATGACCTAGAAAAGCAAGGTTAAGGACTTTAAAAAAAGACATGTTTTAAACATACAGCTACTGTAGATCTACAAAACAATGTTCTTCTGAAAATATGGTTCAGCACATAACTTGATTTCAGTGACTGAACTGAACTCATAGATCTTTCAAATCGGTGCACTTCTATTGATTATATCAATAGTCTAGTTTATATGTGGAGAGACTTTCTAGGTGATCTAAAAGAAATTTTCAGTGTCCTTTCTTTTCTGCCCATAAATAAGAACTAGATAATAGAGCCATCCTTGCACATGTTATATGACTCATAAGTACACAAGATCAGTTCAGAGGTGGGGAGAAATACAATCTGGGAAAAGTAGACCAACTGCTGTAGTATTAAAAAAAAAACACCTTTACATCCTTCTGAAAAAGCTAGCACATTCATTTCTGTAATAGATCAAATTTAAGAAATCCAAAGTTTTCCATTATCCAAATTAGAATCACATAAAGAATTATATGTGAACTTTATTGGGTCCTATACTAGAGTTGGTAACGTATGGCAACAATATACTGCATATATATGCATCAAAAGTTATGCAGTAAGTTGATATTTGACATAGGAAGTCCCAGTTCAGATTTCCACTCCAAAACACTTAATCTTTATCTCTCACCTAAAAGATAGTTAAAGCAAACAAAGCATCACATATGTTGCTTCATATGCTTATTACAAATTTGGTAAATAGTATTAAAATGGTGAAATTACCATTCAGTTATTCCAAGTTAACAAGATTTTTTAATGCTGTGATCCAGTTAGAGCAGGACGCAACATAGAAAATGCCCATTTCTTCAGAAGATGTAAGAATACATCATTAATAATTGTATCTACTTTTTCCTCTTGTAATCTATTCAACAACTTTATAAAATGGAGTTGGAGTCAGTGCTTTAACAAAGGACACCTTGAAAATTTATAGGAAAGGTGAGATTTCACTTAAAGTTTAGTATCTAAACTACAATACTAATACCATCCAAAAGGATGAACAATGAAAGATAAAGGGAGAGCTGCTCTTCACTTTTAAAGCTATGTCTTTTTCTGATTATTTCCTAGAGGCTTTCTATGGTCCTGATCTAGGGCTCCCTTCCTCACCTCCATTCTCCATGTTCTCTTCCAGCAATCAATCTCTCTCTTCACATCACATGACAAGGCATTTTAAACAGAAAAGTTGGAGATGGGGAAACTTCCTTTGGGCTTGTCCAAGTAAGCCGCACTTTTCCCCCTCCTTCCATGAGGCTAGAATTCCAAAACAAAACTTTTGGAAGAGCCAAAAGGGAGGATTAAAACAAAAAAAATCATTCTGTTTGCATGCTTTTTGGGGGAAGCAAAGGGGTTGATTCCCTGTCTGATTTGTTTATTAGCCATTTGGGATGAAGGAGTGTGGTGGGTGACTTGCCTGCCTGATCTACGGACAACTGATTCTTGAGTGAATGGGAGATTCCCCACTGACTAAAATCACAGACCAGATTGATGGTGGCAAGATAAACTCTCTAAGCAGAACACTAAAGTAGCAAATGCCACCACACTGGCCAATAATGAAGCAAATTCTACTCTAAAAATAGTATTCTTATGTAGAGTTACTTAGGAATACAGATATGTTCTCTTATGCTCTGCTCTCCTCTTGCTTCAGCACTTCAAACATCTTAATGGTTTGGTAATAAATGATAAAAACTACAGGAAGCATTTGTTTAAGAGTAGAATGCTGTGTCCTCATGTCATACAGCTTCAAACTGATTTGTGGTCTGAACTGGGTATCCTTAAATCTGTGTAAAATATTAATATACCTTATCAGTTCATTATGACTTTCAAAACCTATATTCAAGTGTAGACAGCCATTCATCCTTTTGCAATTTTGGATTATAACACCCATAGTTCTTGATAAACAGCCAAGCTAGCAGGGTTTAATGGGAGTTAAATCACAGGGATAATATCATATTGCTTGCCTCTCTCAGATCTAAAAGCTGCTTCAAATGAAGTAATTTTTAAATGAATGCAGAGGGAATTGATATATCTCATTTGGATTATCAAAGCATCCTTGCACTTCTCACCAGGAACCTCCAACTTCCAATAAATGTCAACTTTTTTTGTTTTGTTTTTTTAATGAACGATGTGGGCAACCATTTGCTAATCAGAAACATTTTCCTTTTAAAAATTGTTTTGGCCTTTGGTGGTTATGTAGGGTGTAGTAGTAATGTCATTGTAGGTTGGGTCAAAATACTGCTTTTGGGGCAGTAATGTAGGGCGGTGATCATATGTTGCATAATAAATACATTAAGTCTTATGTGGTTTAATGTTATTTTGCTCCTTAATTTCACAACAAAAAAGTAAGAAAAATTGACAGCTTTGCCACAAAATTTTGGAGATGTTCTGATTTAGGGCCATGCTCATATCACTCACTCCTGTTTTACACTATGTATTTTGTTACAGAAATCTGGTGCTCTAGGTTATAGCCTAAGCAGCTATTAAGTCTACAGTTTATCTTGTTAGTTCATACTTGCCATTAGAATGTTTTCACAATATTAAAAATACCCCTGCTGTTTAAGGAAAGTTGATAAACTTTGATAGAATAATATTCTATGTATCAAACCAATTAGATTCTACATTTTAAAAAGAAACCTACATTTTGCACAAAATGATTTTGAATAGTGCATATTTAAGCAGATTATGCACTGTATTTCTTGGTCTTTGCACATATACTATACCTGAAATCAAAGTTTAGAATATACAATAGTAGAATGTGCTAAAAACTTACGCAACTTCTTTAAATTGTTGCTGCCATGTAAAAATTATGACAAATTTATAATATTTTAATCTGAAAAAAATATACACCCAAGGCTTAGCTACATATTAATAAACTGCAATTGGATTATAAGGAAAAAAGCGCTCACTGAATATTTATTATTATTAGCATGATAATGTAAATTTTAGTCTATTCCATAAAGAAATACAGTATCTTCTGATTTACTTTTAATACCATAGTTGGTCTAAGTTTAAAAACTATTGCTAGCTACTTGTAGTTTAAAAAAAAAAAGAAGAAATCCATAAAAATATTTTTAATACTAAGGATCTTTTGTTGCAGAGATTATTTATTGCAAACTTATCCCTTATTCCAGATATAACTTCCTTTTGTGATTGTAAACATAATTAAATCTTACTCTAAAGTCCATAATATTTTAAACTGCACTTTGAAGTTTCTCCCAGCTACGTTTAGACGCATTTAAATGTCAATTTCACAGAGTTACTCTGTTTCAGGAACCACTCCACCTATATAAAGAAAGACTGATAAGGAACTACAGAAATAAGACTCATGAACAGTTTGCTGATAGTGCCTTAATTGTGAAGTCAGAATTAAGAACTTAGATGTTAATGATTTAGGCAACTACTGGTCTGCATCCAGCAGCCATGATTTCTTTAGAAATGCAGCAGCTTTCCATACTTCTGCATCAAAGCTGCCTGTTTTACGATAGCGTATTCCACATTAAGTGAGTTACAGAGAATTCCCATTGTAAATGAACCAAAAAGCATTATGAACTAAAGAAGCTATGGCATCAAAACATTTAAGAAAACCACATTTCCTAATGCTTCTCCAATTCAATAAGATAAATATGTTTTCACTTTTTTCAAACAGCACACATATAAAATCCAGTGGTAAAAGGTCTGTATCCACTGCAGTTGTCAAGGAAGTAACTTACACCAAGGTGAATGTGCAGATAAATGCCTTCACACAATAAGTTTGTTTAAGAGGGCTGTGGACCCAGCTGTATACCAAACTCCACCATAAATTTAGCAACCATCAAAAGGAGCTCCACGCACATCCTAAAATGTATGTTGAGCTCCTCCTCAAGAGACTTGTGATTGGTCCTAAAGGCTTTTTGCATGAAGGAATTCTACTAACTTGTATGACCATCAAGTACAGCTTCTTTCTACTACCACCACTTTTGTACATATCAGGAAGGCTGAACTACCTTAGAAAACTACTACTACTACTACCTCCTCCTCCTCCTCTTCTCACAGTCAGCCAGATGTTTAGACTAGATCTGGCATTTTTATCCACCTATCAAGTCCTTCCCAAGGACCTGGGATAGGCAGATGTTGTTGTTTGATGGTGTTAAGGTATCGTCACAGGATGTAAGCTGTTCCAAGTAAAGTTGTCTTTTGCAATTGACTGATGGTGATTTTGTCAATGCCGATGGTGTTCAAATGGTGCTCCAGATGTTTTGGGATTGCACCAAGGGCACCTATTACTATTGGTACTATCTTTGCTTTCTTTTAGTCATTCTATTTCTATTTGCAGGTCTTTATATTTTGTGATTTTCTCCAGTTCTTTCTCTCCTATTCTGCTGTCTCCAG